GTCGGCAGCCAAACGACTCAGGCAGATTACTTTAAGTCCATTAATCCGGCAAACTTATAACAAAGCCTTGTGTGTTGTGGTGTGAGCAGACTGTCCTCGAGAGTTTTAGGAATGTTTAAATGGGTGTCATGGTAATATGCTGATTCGTACCGACCATGGGGAGTAGTCTACTGACTTTCGTGTGCGGCGCTGGCCATTGGCTTTGATTCGAGCTATATCACCTCCAGCTATATTACCTCCAATGCGCTCCGGACCTAGATGGTCACATATGCTTCATTGTAGAGCATTGCGAGTGCTTCTAATACAACAGCTGCACAATACTCATCGCCTGATACTCACCATGCGTATACCATCCGACGCGAATCACTGGCCAGCAGTGATCATGCACCTTTCACCCTCACCCTCACTTCCCTCGACGTTCTGTTGAAGGATAACGAAGATGGACGCGAAGTAGACATATGAGCATGCAATCTTTCCAAAGGACCTTGAAAATTATTTCTCCTAGGAGAGAGCAGCATTCCTCTGTCATTCTGCTATTGGTCTTAGAAACTTTTACCGTCAGCACATTCCGTCATCCACCAATGCCTAACTTTTGGCAGCGGACGCAGACCATTCTGAAAGAAACATGTCCGTACTGAGAAGTTGACTTTCATCAACAAGAAGAAAAGCCAGGAACTCCCTTTACCTTACATGGCAAACTATTTCATGCTAAAGGAATCCAAGACTGCCAAACCAAAGTGAATACAAACACAGCGGATGGGCTGCTAATTTCTAGTCACCCAGATGAAGCTAGGGGTGACGAAGGTAAGACGGCACATAGAACTACCTGAGACTAAGATGATTGCGGTAGCTTATAGCAATGCTATAAACCAGAAAATCTAGCTCTTTGGGGGCTGTTGGAGGAGGTTAGCCTCTGTTTTACAGCAGTGTTTGAATGAACATGCGAATGTAGTCATTTATTGCTGTAATTGCCGTATTGGACGGTTTGGCTTCAAACGTCTCATCATCAGTCGAAATGTCATCATCAGTGCGCCAGCATTATCCGTTTGGTGGGGGAATCGGTTGGAAGACCACCCTTGACAATGATGTCATTAGTCACTACTCCTTGGTATGGTATGTCCCTAGCTCAAAGCTACCGCCCAAGCAATGGAGGTTGGGCAGTTCTTCACTATCGTAGTAATCTTTAGTAGGAACCGATGACTGCTGCGCAACTATTGATCACAGGGTCACTCTGGTGCAGTTTACAACTGAAACGAAACCACACTTGATTGTTTGAGTTATTAAAGTCCACCATTGTCCACCTCAAAGATGGACTACCGATTGACATTAGCCTTTGGAAGGGTCTTGAGACCACAATGCAGCCATGTACTCATCTTCGGTGACTTCGCTGTTCACGATCTGCAGGTTCCGGCATCTCCCAGAGAGAAGTTTAAGAGCGACCTGCAAAGATTTTGCTGCAAGCATTCCGCCCTGCAGCCATGTCGGTTCACTAGCCAGATTCAGAACAGGAAGCAAACCAGCAAGGTTTAACTTAGTGCCATGAACGAATAGCTCGTGATCGATAACCCAATAATAAAAAGTTGAGTGACCAAGTCACCACTCTATGTCACTTTATGTGGTATGCGCAGTACCCATGGGAACATACTGACATGTTTCTTCCCATCATAGGTTACAACATTTGAAAATACTGGTTAGAGAATCCGCCAGGGAATTTACGGATGGCGGTCCCATTGATAATACTTGGATGGAGCTTGTAATCTGCTCACATGCATGTTTAAAATCCGGCATTTTCCTTCTGTTAGAGCATCATCAATCGTTCGGAACAGAACCCGAAGACCTATGGTGGGGAGAGACGTAGTGTAGCGCGCGTACAAAACTGATCCAAATCTTGGCATTTGGATCAAATGTTTGATGCGACACATTCGCTTGACCGTGAGAAAATAATGCACGTCAGTGGAAAGTTGTTGTGCCAATAGCAGGCTACTGTGCCAATATGTGTTTAGCCTCCAGAAATTGAAGCGTAACAGTTCCTAGTTATCTCATCAAACGGATGTGTTCCAAGCACCGGATATTCAGCCAAAGCTCTACGACTGTAAAATGTACAAATAATTCAAGGAGCCACTAGCATATTTTACACCGATGTCCAGAAATCAGGATTTACCAACCTCACCCATATTTCAGCGAATGTATTGAGGGAGCTGAAATCATTGTGTATCTAGATTTTGCCAGGAGCTGGTAATGTTTACCCGAAAGCGCTGGAGGTGATGTTTACGAGGTTATATGATTCATTAACCATATACTGCGAAGAGCAATGGATGAACAGCTGGGCCTTACCATGCTTAAGAGAGTATCATTATCCCGATTCGCAAGAAGGGTAGCCTGTCGGAGGCCACCAACTAGAGCCCACTGATTTTGCTACCAGTGTTCTTAAAGTAGGTCAATTCGATCATAACTGCGACACTAATGCTCCATGTAAAGTGACTCAACATCATAGCACCGAAGAAACAGGTCTTCGTCGACAGCGACATCACTTCCTTACGAAAAACACCATTTCCTTTAACAATGCCCATGTTTTACCAGCCTACTGATTGCGCTTGGCATTTAGACCGAAACGGACGATATTAGAACAGGAACTATGTTATGTACCACGACTTTTCTAAACTTCTCTACTAGTTAGATCACCGAATCCATTTCCATAAGCTTCAAACCTGAGATATTGCGAAACATGTCCTCCGATATATCGGAAACTTCGTTCAGTAGCAGCGGCTGAAGACTCGGGCCCGATCGTATTGAGGTGGACTGTGATGTTTCGTAAGGATCAGTGCTTCGACCGCGCATACTCTTGGCCATCACTAACAACTTCGCGCGTGTCATGATGTCAGACTTCTTTTTTTTTAGATGTCGTCAACATATGGCAGAGATCGGTATTCAGGAAGATCAGACAATACCACTACAATATCTAGGCCATATTTTGTATGCTCGTAGGCTAAACGCTTTGCTTTCGATAATGATAGATGGAAAGTTGTAAATATGTGCCACAAGCCAAAAACACATAGGCAGGGACAGCAAGTATTGGCGACCTCCTCATAAGAGCGTGATCTTGGAGTGACAATACAAGACGACCTTGGCTGTTCGAAGCAATCCGTGAAGGTATCCAAAACCGCGAACCAACATTTTGGTCTCTTACAACGGGTGTTCTGTCAGTGCTACCCTTCCAGCTTCCCACAAATACTCAAAGCATTAGTGAGACCCCATATGAAGTGCACGATTTAGGTCTCGCAAACTTGGTTAAAACGCAATCTGGCTGAGCTTGAGATTCCACAGCGAAGGGCTGGCTGGCTAAGGGCTGGCAGCGAAGGACTGGCTCTACTTTTCATACCAACTGCGACTGAAAGCCATTGTAGTGCATAGTGGAACTTACAGTCGTCCGGATGTGTTACATTTTGCAAACTCCAATTAACTTTGATGTAGCCTAAACCGTAGTCGCGACACAAAACTAAGGGGCCACCAGTTGATGCTGGCCACCTAATACAGCTGGTCGGAATGCCTTCAAAACTTCTCCCCTTCGAATCTGTCAACCGTGTGACGCTGTTCCGACTTAGCTCATTTCTGTTCGTACGATTTGCCAAACCCTTTACATAAGGTATTAAGACACTCGTTCATCGGGTAGCGACAAAGCGCACACACAAACACTGTGCTCATGAGCACCCTTCGAAATTAGGTATGCGGGTTTTCATGATTGTTAACGTGGATGATATTGTGAGGCCTCAGCTGCGGGATTTATCTTGCTGGCAGTTTATTCCTTTGTGCTGAGGTATTTCACTCAGACAAACTTACGGCATTTGCCAAAGTTTAGCATTTGTACCCTTCCTACAATATTGATCCATTTTTCTTTTGATACCATATGGAAGAAAACTAATCATTTTTCCCATATGAAATCACTGCCTGAAATGATATAGATATTGTTTAAACCGCACCGTATCATAATAGCTCACAAGCCGACCGCCAGTTTGAGAATTACACTGTCAAAATCAAAAGGAAAACGCGAAATGCAAGAACTGCAAAATGGTGTGCACAAACTAAATGACGGAAATTGTGCAAGGTACCATATGGAACAAATGGAATGGAAATGGTCACCAGGGATACGGAGATACAAAATACTGTGCCGAAAACATAATGCAAAATAGTTATTATAAGCATAAGTGGATGAGGCACATCTATTTGATTAGAACAAAGAAAAGGTTATGACCTGTGCATGAAAGCAACTAGGACGGTATTTTTTTGAGAAATGCTCCACTATAAACAATTCAGTCAACAAGCGCATCTAAATAATACGATATCTGTATGAAAGGACTGCGACGGCAGGAACCCAGAGGTATTAAAAACCAAAGTTCGAAAGTAAACAATTTGCTAGCCGCGTACTGAGCAAAACACTCAAAAGGAAGCAAACTGCTCTCTCCAGGTCTCCTGAAACAATCAAAGTCAGGGAATCTCAACCATGCAGCAGCGACATCATTGTAGCCTATTACGATTTGCCAGCCAGAGGTGTATAACACAAGGAATAACCAATCTGAAGAAGGGGAAACTTGATAATACCACAAAACAACGGATGGAAAAATGAAAGGCGACATCTATACTTGGAGTCGCCTTCCACCATCTTCCGGCACTAAACTGCCAGCTTCGGCTGGTGATGATACGTTCGCAACCAAATTATCCAGCTGTTTAACACCGCAACAACTGAATACACAACGCGTACTGCCAAACATTTGTATAGTCCCATCTAATATGTCGCTGCTGCGTTGGTTGTAACCAAATTTAGAATTTGTTTCTTATCTAATCAGCTGGACTGAAGAAGTGTACAACCTAAGTAATGTTTAAAGATTTTCGAGGTGGATTATTCCACGCGGATCTGGAAAATTTTCCGCTCTTTTAGCAATGGGTTGGCTGCTTAATCCAGTTTTAAAGAATCTGTTTCATTCAAACGTTTTCTTCTCTTTTAGATAGGGGAAAATCCTAGTGAAGACCTCTCTGCTCTACTGACAACTGCAGAAGAAGTTCAGTTGAAGGGTAGGTTTGAAGCGAGTGAGCTTCTTCTTTCGGTCATTTAAGACGACACAACTAATAAGTGTAGACTTTGTAATTATTTTTCAGAGATAGAAAGCGATTTGTACTTGTCTTTATGCTAAAATTGTTGGGTGAACCACTGGACGTTGTGAATCTACACCCTCAATTCGACCAAGTTCAGCGGTCCGTTACAAAGTACGGGCGACAATAAATTTTTGAGAGCTTGGCCTACAACTACGTTAGAAGTGGGCTTGCAAGTTATTCGACTTAGTCCCCAGGGATCAATAAGTAGCAATTTTACTTTGTATGAAATTTGTCCAGCCTTGTGCAACTTGTGAGAAATAGGTTATTTTTATCAACACTGCATCATTTGTTTGTGGATGGTTGTGTTCGTCAAATTCGAGCCTGGAATTGCTGGAACTCACATAGTTCTATTGCACAGAAAGCAAAAATAAACAACTAAAAAGGGTTCATTTCTGTTCTACTTTTCTATCCGTAACTGTCAGCATAGAGCGCAGTGTTTCGCTCACAAACTGCATCCTCGAAATTTAAGTCACTCAGATACAGTGCACCCATGATGGGTCAGCTGATCGGTATAAATTTTGCTTTAACCATTGACCAGCAACCATTGTCGTGCATTCCTTGGGTGAGCTGCTGGTTTGTAGTAGCATCAACGCAGTCAGTTGGTACTCAGGCACAACCGACAGTTCAGAATCGCTCGACAGTGGTCGGTTCGCTGAAAATCTGACAGCTGATAGTGCCATACCACGGATTCTTGTTCACGCCGCGTCAACAGAACTCCGTGTGATCGGATTCGCTACACTCACATATTCCGTCCTAAAATGTTCCCACCTACCATTCACCTCCACTCACTACGGCTTTGAGAATGACAACCGATTTTTGATGAATTCGTCCTTTCTGGTGGGTCGGGGAACGTGTGGGACTGATACCAGTATCAGAAGCTTGCACCTCGAGTGCACACACACTACGTAAATAATGATATATTTCATTGCACAACTCAAGTTAACCAACTTCAAATAATCCACGATGATGACAACTGTCCAACCCAGGTAGGCCTCATTTTTAGTAGTGCGTTTATAGTTAGACGTGCTAACAGAAGAGACACGAGGTAACAATTGCTGGAACAGTTTAACTGACAGCTGAGGCGATTTGTTTGAATGAAAGGGATTTTGAGCGGTTGGATTGCGAGGTCTAACGACCATGGTAACCAGAGCAAGGTCAGATTCCACCATCGTGAGCGCAACTCCCTGCACGCTCTTTTGCCTTTGGTATAAAGTCACTATAACTCATTAGTCGATGGTGAGTATAAACTGACAGCCATGAGCATTTTAATAGCCAGATACAATACGCTTTGTGCAAATAAGGAATACTTACTTGCTTTCTCCCGCCGGAGCTTGGCATGTCCAACTGAATGTGACGATTACAAATACAAATGAGTTCATAGCAACGACAACAAGAAAATTCAAAAATACTCGGTATTGTCATTCGGAGGGAAGAGAGTCATACGTGTTCATCCCGGACGATGTCAGGCAGATCCGTACCGGCATAAGCATGAAGGTGTAGTTCGATACAAAACACCACTCACTGGGAGATCAGGAATATTCAGAAACCGATCATGGACAATCGGTTGGATGGGTACGAGTGATATCCAGGACAGGTAAAATGTCTTTCAAATAAAGGGTTGCAAGCTTTGGTGAGCATTCAAAGGCATGGCCCAGGTACCTTTGCAGCATTTACTGATATTCCTGAGTACCGATCTCCGTCATCTTTTGCTGGCATGGAAAAAAGAATGAATTTCAACCCGTTGACATGCGCGAAGTTGTTACTGATGGTCAAGAATATACTCGGACTCAGCACTGATCCTTCCGATTAAAGTGACAAAACCTGTGGACACATTTGTTACGAGCTGTATAGATAGGTCCGAATAAATGTATATAAGCCAGTTGGGGTGCTAACTAGCAAGATTGTGCTTGATCACAAATTGATCACAAATGTGGAATAAAAGGACCTTAGCAAAGCAAGCTTTGTTTTCAGTTATATTGCTTGCGTTCTGTAAGGTCAAATTAACTTGATAAGCTGATGGGCTGGAGCTTTATTTGTGAATAATTCAGTTTCTGGTTTTCATTCTTAGAAATCTTTCGAGTACACTTGGTAAGATTTTGCTAGGTGAAAAAGGTGGGAACTATTCGATTGAGTTCATGTGGGACGAGAACTTCCTTTTGGTTTTCACGGGATAGCAACCTCAGGTAATGTTGGAGTAAGAGTGAAGGAGCATCCTCTTGTTTGCTCTATAGAACTAATGCCTAGTTAAGACAGCTGGTTGTCCAAGACTTAGAGCTTCCCAGATATCAACAACATTTTCCTTACTCTACGGAATCGGCACTAGCAACGAACATAATATATTGATAAACACTGATGCTGACATTTGCAAACCAGCTACCTAGATCGACAGGCACATGCACAACTTGTCAGGTGCAACAAAGATGAAGGTTGCTATATGCCAGCTTATATCTCATTTGTCCCTTCATGCTATGAGGGTAACCTATATGATTCTGATTTCCGCAGTGGAGGAACACCTACAAAACCAATTCCACAGGTGTCTACCAGTTAATGGATAATTCCTTGTTACCAGTTAGCCAAGCCTTCCGGATCCTGCTGCGTCATACATTTTTATACTCTCATCTTGTTGAAGCCATCAAAATAGGCCAGACCAATGCGCATAGTAAACAATCGCTTAGCACTCTCCATTCGCCATGGTCCTAGGGAATTTAACACCAGTTAGAAACCCAACGCGATTTGATTGCCTACGCCATCTGGCATTTATCCAAGACATCACCTGTTGTTCGAAACATTACCGCTTAGTAAATGCGAGACGCACTCTCCTATCAGCACCCGTCTTCTCACTGAGCTACTCGACCACCTGAAGAAATACCTCGTTTTAAACCATCCCATTACTTACTACAATTCTACCATCCTAATGCAAAATGATTAGCTATTTTTGTCTTACTTTAGATCCACTTACTTAAGCATTTTTAACCAGGAATTGATTGTTTTTGTATGCGACATACATGAATTACTCCTGGGAAGCTTGTTAAAAGGATAAAAAGTATCGAACTAATTTCTCCGTAATGTGTAATTTCCGGTCCAACTAGAACCTCTGGAATGTTTATTGGAAATAGCCCATCAAATAGCGTGAATGCACCTTGATATGTGTTTTTAAGTGAACCACGCAACCGTCGAGTTTGCCCCGACTAATATTTGACCAGTCAACACCTCCACTGAGCCACAAGCACGACGAGCTTATGAACGTGAACTGTCTTTACTCCGGGTTAAACCTACCATGCTACTATTCCAGTGAATGCAGGCAGGAAGACACATTCAACAATTTCGGAGTTCTCTACTGTCAAGTCAGACATAAATGTGAGATTCAGTTTACATCGTGTGAACAGTGTAATTAAACATGGGCCCACATATCGTGTCTGCGTTCACCACTACTTGCACGTATTAACATAAACGCAATTCAATGTTAGTCACTTTAGATAGTATTTGGTTGTCGCTCTAATAAATAATTTGCAACCGATGAGAAGTCAGGGCAACGTGCAGATCACTGATAGCCCCAAGATTAACCTTAATAAATCGATTATTGCGAGCTTGTACGCACATTATTAATTTGACAAGCCCTAACAGTGGGAATGATTAACTTGAGGAAACTGTAGCAAGATATGCAGAGAAGATCTTATATATCACATTTATAACTTAGGCATCCGGTGCATCACAACACAAACTCTAGTGATCCAGGTGTTCCGCGTCCAGATGACCTACACCGCGCCTTGGCCGTCCGCTCATTGCAAGAACTACAACGTGCTGTAGCTGTGGTGACTGCAACATGCAGGAGATGTGGTTGGAATGCAAGACCACTTACCAGCGTAACTCAGTGCTACCTCGATAATCCTCCGCGTGGATGCGAGTGCGCTGGCTATAGTCACCATTAACGCTAACTTGGAGCACGAGAACTTATGCATTATCCCGTACTCCAGCAACATTCTTTAGTTAATCTCGGTTCAGATGGAAACCCTTCCACTCAGAACCACTGAGCCTCCGACCGAAAAGTCCAAAAATACAACAGGCAGGTTGGTTTGATTAGCAGATGAATACGCATAGTCGACTGTTTACCGCGGTACTTGTCTGTTCGTGTTATTCTTTCTACATTGTGTGGTTCAGTAGCTGGTTAAGTTACACCCTCTGTGTACTCAGCAGGCTCAATAAATGAGCTACTAAACAGAAAAATCAAAGAACAAGGACAAAGGAACAATGATTTATGCCGGGTGAAAAAGCAGTTGTCGGCAAGTCCCACAGGATGGTGTGGGTAAAACTAGAAGTATCGAAATTCGGTGAGTTATCTGTTTGTGCCTTTATCTAGCACATACGCAGCTGAATAATAGTATTGTACGTAGGAAGTAAATGAGAACGACGAGGCAACATGGGACAGTCATGGTTGCTGTACTTCATGAGAACAGCAAAACCCAGAATAATCAACTCTGTATCGCCACCTCAGGTTTAGGTTACATGTTAATCCGGTTTGAAGGGATGATAAATATGTGCCAAAGTAGCAGATTATGGGCAATAATTGATGGGGCAAGGGGTAAGATCCAATAGGTTTTTGAAAATATCCAATAAAGGGGAGGAAACAACGAAGTTTAGGCGAAACTTCCAGAGAAAAAATTTCCGCCTGCATTCCAGGTGGCCATACTGTGCACACAATTTCAGAGGGTTATTTTGAGATTGATGTTATGGGTATGTTTCATCAACTGATGGCATACGTGATTAGAGCCACTCAATATTTGAAAGACTAGTATGAGATCGCCGCGCAGCATTCTGTAGCAGTCACTGAAAATTTCCAATGACTTCAGCCTTTGATGGTAGGACAGATTTCGTGGGCCCTTCACATCCTTTACGGCCCAGCGTTATGTTTTCTCTAGTAC